AAGTGAAAATAGAGAAAAAAAAAAGGAACTGAGCTGCTTGTTGAATTTTCATATCAATACACAGCTGTGTAGTCTGAACTGTGTTCATGAAACAATCTATTACTCTTCTGTCCCCCAAAGATGGTCTTCCACCACCAGAAAATTGGTATTATGGCTTCTAACACAGAAGAATTTTTCTTATTTGGGGGACATTGTATGAATTGTGGCTTTATTCTTTCTGTCTGACTACTTCCACTGTATTGTGTTTTTGAGACTCATCTGTGTAATTGTACTTTCGGTTATTTTTACATAGTGTTTCATTGTATGACTATGCCTACACCACACTGTATTAATACATCCTGTGTGTATGTTTATGGGTTGTTCCCACCTTTGGCAATTATGTATAGCACTATTTGAAGAATTCTTGCACATCTCTTCTGTTAAATATAGTCATTTATTTCTGTTGGGTGTGTACTTAGTACTACTGCTAGGCCATTGTATACATGTTAGTTCAGTTTCATCGTTGCTTCAAATTGTCTAAAGTGAATTTAACACAATGCAAACTGTATTTGAATGTTTTGTGTACTTACCAATATTTGGTGTTTTCTTTCTTCTTCATTTTATGTAGTGTCATACCTTCCATTGTGGCTTTACTTCACATTTGATGATTGATGAGCCTTTCTCCAAGTTTCTTGGTCAGCTAAACATCTCCCCTGTTGAATTGTATTTTTCTCATTGATTTTCAGGCATTTCTTACATGTTCTAAATATGATTCCCTTGGAAACATACTGTGAATATCTCCTAGACCACATGTTTTTTTTTTTAAATAAATAAAATTTACTTTTTTTTTTTTTTTTTGGTTTTTCGTGACAGGGTTCACTCTATAGACCAAGCTGGCATCGAACTCACAGAGATCCACTTGCCCCTGCCTTCTGAGTGCTGGGACTAAAGGTGTGCACTGCCACAACCTGTCTCAGGACTTATATATTTTATCATGAAAGGATATAAAGTCTTAAGATTGCCCACAAATCAGTTTTAGAACATTTCCATCACGGCAGATTACTTCATTCTTTCTGCCCTTTCCTAGTCAACCCTTACACAACAGCCACACTCATCTGATTTCTGTCACCATATGTGTGTTTCCCTAGTCTATAATTGTATATAAATGGTTTTCTACAGTATGTACTTGCTTGATATGTTCAATTGTTTTGACTTCATGTAATATTTTTTCACTCTATCATGTTGCTTGTATTTGTATCCATTTTTTTCATTGCTGAGTTAGTATTGCTGGTAGGTCATTCTACTGTTAACATCCATTAAGCTAGTTTTCATCTGGGACTATTATAAATAAAACTGGGTATTTTTTATACACAGCTGTTTATGGAGAGAGCATTGATCCTTTAAGTTTTCACAAATTTTCCTTAATACTAAATTTGCATTTTATATATTTTTTTCTAGCAAATCCAGTTATGTAAGCCTGTATTCACACAAAGGAAAAATGAATTACTTCTTAAGATAAATTTTCATTAAAGAATGGCAATAAGTCCATTAATTGGCTTCCCTAGTATTTCAACTGATTCTTATTACAAACAACTGTTTGTGGATAACAGTTACTTCCTTTTCTCACTTGAATTTCATCTGTATAGATTTTCCCTTTTCCACTTGCATGAATGTATGGAAGAAACTGGCTTTGCTGCAGTTTTTCAGTTGTATTGATACCTTGTATTTTTGGAAGAAAAGAGAAATAAACAAGTATGTCATGATGCTTCTCAGATAAACATATGTCTTCAATTATGAACACATTACATATTTGAGAAGGGACATAAATTAACAGTCCAAGAATAGGAGTATTCTGCAGTGCTTAAAATTGAAAAAATAATTCTGTGTCAAATGTTACATTGTATGATTAAAACTGGTGATATTAAGTAAAAACTGTACTGCTAAAACTCACCCACCCCAGTGCCTGTGATGCTACTTTCTATAAATATGCCTTTGAAACTGAGAGCTTTGATCCTGTTGCCAAAATAATGTGAGATCCTAGAAATTTTCTAATTATAAATGACAGTATTTTAATTTCCTTCTACTACCTCTTCTGTCCCTCCCATCTCAGCACAAGTGACTTGATCACTACAAGTTGCAGGAGTGAATTAAAGCACACATCACATCATCTCTGGTTATTGTGGGGAAATCACAGCTGTTCTTCTGCCAGATAACTGCTTTTCCAAAACCCACTCAGGTTACTGCTTTCTTTATTTTCTGTGTGACCCAATGATTCAAGTCAACTAAAAGCAGTTTAGTAGAAGTGGAAGTTTCCTTTCTCAAACAGGGCTTTAAGTTTGTTTCTCTAAATCAATTGTTCAGAGAAAGCTATCGGTGGAAGAGGTAAGGAATTTGGAATTCAGTTTTACATCTCTTGCTGAGCTTTCCTATGGTTACACACTGTGAGTAGTTTAATATTAATTACAGAACATATATGCAGGCAGGGCAAGTGTGATGGTAAAGATTGTGCTTTAACGCCATTTCTGACAGGTTTTAATTTTGGGTTGTCACAAAGGGAATTTTATGCTGCAGGTCTATTTTGCAGTCTTAAAATTCAAAATCTCTACCTCTAGGTGGCAGCACCAGATACTTTTTTCCTGTTTGAGGCCAGCCTTAATAAGTTCTGGTATAAGCAGTAAAACTTTCAAGTTGACTAAAACTTGGAAATATTCCATGAGAATTTGGTTACATTACTTTGTGTGTTGAATAAGTTTGGGACTTGCTGCACCTTGGGTTTTTAAAGTCTTCTAAAAGGATTTTTGATCCTTTTTCTTTTTTAGAACATGGTATATATGTCTACTTTAAAAATGTAAGCCCTCTTCAGTTTGCCTGTTTATGCATAATTCTTCAAAGAAAACCACTTGGTTAATGATGTTTTTGTATTGAAGTAGCATGTACAAGCCTGTTGTATGCTTAATACTTTAAAGTTAATTGCACTCTATTTTCCTTTTTTTTGTTTTTAAAAATTAACAAGAATCATAGTTAAGTGAATATAAGATTGAAGCTTCTTCGACTGAAAGAGTTCAGCTTGAGGATAAATCTGAAGTAATTAACTAGGCCAGATGGCCTAGTTACTGCTATGGGAAGATAATAGTCATTTGTGAAAGTCAACATTTAGAGTAGATATTGCATAAGATTTGATTTTTTTTTTCTTGCTGTCAGACATGTGTTGGGTGTTCCTTTGTAAGTACCAAGATAGACCATATCCATTTTTGGTTAACCCCTCGGGCAGGTGGGCTGGCTGGCTATCTACCAGTTTGCTCCTCCATGTACTCAGGTGTGCCAAGTGAAAGAGGACTGATAGAGGAGGCCTAGGGAAGAGCCCCTAGTTAATTGTGTATATATACAATCCAACATGATTTTGTTCCTTTGTTTTGGGAGCATTTAAGGATCTTGCCTTTTAGAAAACACCTGTCTTCCACCCCTCCTTTAAAGTTAAAATTGTCATTGGAAATTGATTAATCATTATACAGTCAGAAAAGTTAAAGCTGCTTTCTCATAACTACAGATTAATCAACACATTCTGTGAATATCCTCTTGTATTCACAACTAGAGATTAATAAAAGGTACATTTATCTGTTACTATAGAAAACAAGTGATCTCACTTCTCAGTGTGGTTTCTCATATTCAGTTCCTCTGCCCTCTTTAAATATGAGGACATGTATTGTCCATATTTTACTTATCTATTGTTTTTCTAGGAGGCAGATCATTTGTAAACTAAAAATGATCGTCTTAACATGGGGCAGGTGCCATTATCACAGTAACATATCACTTATTCTATGTATTCTGAAAAAAATATTTAATTTTCTTATATGTTGTCATATTAGGAAATACTTTTAATTTTATGAAGCATAGTTATTAATTTCATGTGTAGCGTGAATATGTGTTTCATGTGAGTACAGTATGCATTAAATGGTGTCCATTTGCTATTTTGTATTGTATTCAAGTGCAATTTTTTAAGTGTTTAACATGTAGTAAGCACCATTAAACTGGGCTTTTCTTTTATTATCTCATTTCAAGTTCAAAACTATATGGCTGGTGACACTTCCATTTTGTGGGTGAGAAAACTGAGACTCCACATCTCAATCATCTGTTCTTTGATTGCTACCCTGCTACTCTGAAAGCGTTTTCCTCAAGAAGTTTATAATTACTATGTGTCACTTGATGACTGACCAAAGAGAATATAGGAGTTTGAATTTTAAATATAAATCCAAGTAGTAAAATTTGACAGGGTTTGAACAGGGGAAAATTAAATTAGTAAAAATGTTTTGTTTCTTTAAATAGTTTGTGGCAACAAAATCATATAAACCATGCATAGATTTATTGTTTCAAATGAAATATAGAAATTACATGTAGTTTCAAAGCTATTGTGGGTGTGTGGACCTATGGACTATGTAGATCCATCCCTTTGTACATGTTTTAAGTGTATGAATTGCAAACATAGAAAAATAGACGTTGCACTTTCTCCAGATGCTGCTACTGAATTATAACCACTGACGTAGGCTGCAGCATACATGCTGTTAACTATTGAGAGAAGATGAAATCTACCACTGCAGTGAAATCAGTGTTTACAATTGTGTCTGCATTTGAAAGAGTGAACCTATATTCTTTAATGGGAATTTTGTTTTGTTTTTCTTTTTAATGGTTGCACTTTGAGTATTTTTTTAATAACAGTGAATAAATTATTTGAGTTTTTAAGTGTAACTTAAAAAAAATCTATGAAATGCTTTGGAACCTGTATGTCCAGTGACTTGTTTCTACATTGTAGTTTTAGAGTTATTTTTTGATTCATAATCTTTTATAAAAACTATTTGTCCTATGATCTTGAGTTCAATTGGTTTTACGTGTGTGTGTGTGTGTGTGTGTGTGTGTGTGTGTGTGTGTGAACTTGAAAACTATTCTTTTGTGAGAATTTACTTTGGGTTATAATTCTTTGAATGACTACTTCTGTTTTTTTTTTTTTTTTTTTTTTTGCTTGGTAGGGCTTGACTCCACTCAGTTTAGAGTTCATCAGTATCACAAAGATGAGGAGAATGATGCTCTACTTGGTGGACCAGCACAACTGACTGATGAGGAGAAATACAAGGACTGTGAAAAATTCAAATGCCTTTGTCCTACATGTGGAACTGAGAATATTTATGATAATGTCTTTGAAGGCTCGGTTAGTTATTCCTTTTTGTTTCTGTCTTTCATTTTGTTTGGAAACTAGTTCAGAGTGCCCTCCCCCTACACTTCATGGTATATAAAGGTAACCTAGATGTTGCATTTTTGTCTTTAAACAATTTTTGCTACATGACTTTTGCTTTTATAACTTCATTTCTGCTGAGACATGCTTAATTGAGTATGCTTTAATTGTTTTTGCCTTTCTAGAGTGCTTGACCTTAGTTTTAAAATGGAATCTCTTAAAAATTCTAATTATCTCAAAATATTTTTATTGGAACTCCTTAATTAGTAACCTGTATTCCCTGTTCCCAACCCCACTTATTTAGATAGAGCAATAATTTCCTTTATCTTAAGTTAACAAGAATTAGGCATTTTGGGAAAGTTTTGTTTGTCTTTACATGTTCCTCTCACCTTGTTTTTTCCCAAAGGTACTCTTACTATCTTTTCTGTGGTCTTTCCATATCAGACATTAAAAAAAAATCACAAGGAGACATTCTTGTCAAGAAGTACTGCCAAAAAATGTATCATTGACCTTGGATCGGAACTTGAAACTCAGCCAATTCATTTCATTTTACTGCAGTGTTATAAGTGTGCTAGCCATTGGCAAATGAGTAGGCAGCAGAACTCTGAAACCTTGAAACTGAAAGAAAATACATCTTTTATCTAAATTAAAAGTAATTATTTTAAGTTAATTTGGACAAACAGCAGATGTTTTGCATTTTTTTGAATCAAAACAAAGCAGCTTTTGGAAGCAAGTGCAAGGAAGAGGCAGACACATATCAGCAATACTTGCTAAATCCTTGAGTTTTGCTTCATTACAGCTGTAAATAAGATAGTTAATTGCATGGAGGCTTGACGACTTGCAGATGGGCTAACTGTGGAAGAGCCGATGTCAAGCTCGGAAATCTCTTCCACCTGGAATTGCTTAGCTTGTCGGGGTAGGGTTATGCACCAGATTGGAGCAGGAAACCAACCAAGATATTTAAGAAAACAAATGCTCCAGAAACCCCAACAGTTTTCCTATATCTTATTTTTGTTTTGTCTTTGTTTAAAACAAATTACAACATAATAAAATGTTCTCCAACTGTTAATAGTTACTCGTTCAAATGTATATTCTTATTGAAACCTTCTTTCCCAATATATATTTCAGTTCTTTTCAAGCACAGAAACTTTAGATTTTCCAATCTGGTGATAGTTTGCTTTATTGCTTTTTTAGTGCGCTAATTTTAAATTTTACATTTTTCTGCCTAAAATTCCCTTGGTGCAGTAACAGCAAACTAATATCATGTAAGGGCTTTTGCTTTGTCTTCAAGTTTGGAATGAATGAGTGCAAGTTAAGTTTTGATCAGTGTCTCTAGAATAATGTTTATTTTTGGTAACATGATTTCTCTGGTATTTTTGGTGGGGAAGTTGCCTTATCCATAATGCCTGTCTTGCATGGAATGTAAAATAGTGAGTTTGTGGTTTTCCCTTTGACTTTGTACTCCATTGTGATAACAAGAATTTATGCCATGTACTTCTAAAGGGGATCTTAAGCCATAAGTAGTGGATAAAGTATGGTTCAAAACTCACCTCTAATAGTATTGGACACCAAGAAAACAAATGAAAGTTTTAAGCATAAATACTTTCTGATAATAATCTTTTGTACACTTGTTTGTCCTGTTTTCTATAGGGAATTGATATGGAGCCCAGCTTGTATCGTTGCAGTAATATTGATTGTAAGGCTTCACCACTCACCTTCATGGTACAGCTGAGCAACAAACTGATCATGGACATTAGACATTGCATCAAAAAGTACTATGATGTAAGTATCTGTAATAAGACTTTACATATTTAATTTGGAGAAATATAATAATTGTTTAATAGTTTTTGATACAAGTGAAAAACCTTTGGGGGAAATTCGTAGTAAAATACTTTTAATAAAATGTGACAGGCTGTAATTTAAAGTTTGTTTACATTTTCTTATTTATATGTGGATGGGTGGGTGATGGTGGTGCAGGATGGTGCCTATATGGTGAACATGAGGGAGTTAATTCTCTCTTTCTATCAAGTTGGTTCAAAGGGATCAGACTCAGTTCATCAGGCTTGGTAGCAAGACCTTTACCACCTAAGCCATGTCAACTGCCCAAACTATGAAATTTTAGTCTGGTAATGTGACAAATAATTTGATTTTTCTCATATCTCATTACTGAAGAGTATTTTAAAGATTTAAAGTTTAATTTTAAGAAAAGTGAAACTATATTTGGAAATTTTATTTTTATTTGTTATTGCCTAGGTAACAAAATTGAATGATCACTCAGAACTTTGGCTAGAGTAGGAAAAATATCAATGTTGCCTGTCTCCAGTAAGTAGAGTCATGGTACTATGGGTAATGATTTTACTGGATTGATCACTGCCCAGTACTTTGTGTTCACACATGACAATCTAAGCCAATCTCTTGATTAGTTTTCTGAAGAAATGAAAAGAAACATTTTTTAAATTGAAGTGCAATTTGAGATTTCAAAGAGAATATCTCATTTTTTTATATGTACAGAAAAAATCCCAGAAGAGTAAGTAAGCTTTCTTTGCTTTAAAATCGAGCTTTTGTTTTTTCTTACCACATTTCAAATGAATGTTTTTTTCTCTTTAAAAATTAAAATTTAATAAGACTGTACATTTCTCATTTTTCTTAGTGTGTCATATCATTTATCATCTAAACAAATTTTCTGTCACTTGAAAATTCACTATACCTTTTAACTGACTTCTAAGATACACTGTTTATATATAACTCAGCATGAGACCATGAAAGAAATGATGGAGTTCTTTTAACAAATATATATTGCGATATACAGAAAAACCCCGTTTTAAAAACAAAAACAAACAAAATGGCTTTGTTGCCAAGGCTTTTTTTTTAAATAAAAATGTTCAGGAAGTATTAGCTAAGACCAATGACTTTAACATTCTATTCTTTCTATTTGTTAATTAAAATGTAACATAGCCCTTCTTTAGGCACGTGTGAAGTAATTTGACATGTCTCACATAGTAAGAAATATAACTCATTATATATAAATGGGTATTAGAGCATTAAGGTAAAGGATGAGAACACAGAGTCATATTGTGATTTGGCAGAGAATAATTTGTATTTATATTTTTAAAAAGTATGTTTGCCTAAATAATAATGACTACACTTTGGGAAACTCTGCAAACTTTAGTGAATAAAGCTGTGCTGCACTTAAATGAAGAGCTTGTTGGGAATAAAGGTTATTTGTCGGGTCACATTCTATAGTACATCAAGTGTTCACCTTATGAAATGTTAGACCTTTATTTACCATGAAGAGCACAAATCAAAATTGTTCAACTTCTCATTTACAGATCTCGTTGAGTAAAGTATGATTCTTGACTCTTGGGAAGAATCCTGGCTTTTTCCTCTATGTTTAGTCTATCAAAAGCTTCACCATGGAAATGTTAATACTAAAACAATGAATCTAGTTCCTTCTGCGAGACGGAACTATCTGTTTTGACTAAGTTGAGAATAGGGAGAAAAACGATCCATATAATTAGAATGTGCCCAAACTCAAAGATGAATTTTAATTCTAATTGTGTGTGTGTGTGTGCATGCGTGTGCGTGTATGTATGTGTGCATGTCTGTGTTTTAATGACCATAGTTAAAAAAGCATTTTTAAGCTAAATAATCTACTCTTGCAGACTAAGTATTTAAAAGAAAGTTGTTAGAGTACTTGCCTTGTCTTGTCTACCAACTATTTCTGTAGCATGCAAGTGAAAGGTTTTCTACACTTAACTGCCCACTTGATTGTCTTTTCTAAGACATTTCTGATCAAAATCGCCAAATGTTACTCTAGTAATTAAGGATTGATAGAACTGTTGGTCCTCAAAGTTAGAAATTTCCTTGCTTTGTGATCCTGATCATAAGCTACTGGATGGGTGAAAAGAACTCCATCATTTCTTTCATGGTCTCATGCTGAGTTATATATAAACAGTGTATCTTAGAAGTCAGTAAGAGACAGTTTTATTTTTTGTTGTCTCCAGATACAATGCTACTTTTGCCAGCTGATGGGTGTGATGTTGAGTTCCTTTGGTTAACTGTGCCTCAAGTCACACTGTTGAGTGTGATGTATGATAAAATTAATGGCAATCAAGCTAAAGACTGATGCAGTAAGCATATTAGAAAGGCTTCTAAGATTAAGCGACTTTTCTCTGAAGCAGGTTACCAAAATGGATTCTTCATATTTTGTAATATTTAAAAATACTCAGTGAATAGAAACAATTATTTGTGGATCTTAGATAATAGAGTATCATATTTATTTTAGTCTTAAAATTACAGCAAGGGAAATCAGTTTACAATGAGAAAAGAAATGTACATATAGAAAGGAAGAACTTGGAGAAGTTTGGTAAAATATGACATCTGACCAAACGTAAGTTGCCAAGGAACCTAGTTATAGATTATATGAAATTAGGTTACCAAGAAAAGAATTTGAAGTCACAGAGTATACTTCCAAATCATTTGCATTTTCAAATGCATTACATGTTCCTCTGTCATGACTGGATGAGTAAATGTGATGTAACATTTTTGCAATTGTATATATCTCAGAGTCAATAAATCTACATTACATCATATTTTAATACTGACTCCTTTAGTGGGAAATGCTTTTTCCCAACCCCCTTTGTATAGTAATGAGTGTATCCTTTGAATTCTCATTTAATTAACATACAAATTTACCTGTGCATGGAAATGTACAAGACACTGAACAAATGTACTTTTTGAGTAACATATTGATTTACTTGGGAGAAATACAACTTTAGATTTTACTTCAAGGTTTGATAATGTGTTGAAAAACTGACATAGCACAAAGAAATCTTAATTCAAAATTGATTGTATGCTTTGAGCCTTGTTTGTTACTCTGTTAATACTGAACTGGTATTTCTTTTTACTCATAAGAAGGCTAATTAATCTCTAAGCTTTTAAGGATGGTTTTTGAAATTCAGGTTTAGAATGAAAAATTTACACATAACCCCCCCCCCCTTAAATTCTGTCCCCAAGAGCACACACACACACACCGAGAGAGAGAAAGAGAGAGAGACAAAGAGAGAGAGACAGACAGACAGACAAAGGGAGAGAGAGAGAGAAAGAGAGAGACAAAGGGAGAGAAGCACTAGCTAATCTAAATTGGGAAATGAAGAGGGCTTTTTTTAAGCATGAAAATTTCATCATCTTGTCAGCTGGCAGAATGCCTGCTGTGTGGATTCACAAAGGCTAAGAATTACACTTTCATGAAATTTTCCTCACTAACTGCCCTGGTTAATTTGAAAGATAACCCACTGTTCTAATTCATTCCTCAATTGGGCGGTGCAGGTTTTATCTTTGATCTGACAAAGCATTTGTGTTAATCGTTTTGGCCCTCCACTAGACACTCTTGGGATTGTGCTTTTACAATAAATGTGTCTGTGATAGCTCTTTAGTCTATTATACTTACAATAGATCCATAGAACTGGTAATTAATTCTCCACTGCTTTGGAAATGGGAAGAATAGGTGTAGCTCTGTCAAGTACTGCTGGGAAGTTTGTTTAGCTGGTTTATTTTTGAAGTGTTCCCTCAACTGTCCTAAAAGCGAATATGAGACTGAGATGCTAGCCTACCCTAATGACTTTCTGATGTGGGAAATTCAGTCCTTTTTGATACCTGGGAGGGGGTGGTGGGTCATTTATTATTGGTTACTATGTACATTAAACTCATTTGAATACATACATGGAGTCACACCTTTCTAAAGGTGGAGGCTCTGACAGACACAGTGTGATAGTGAACTAAAATGTATTCCTCGTTCCTCATTATGCAGTGTTTAAGGGGTTTGAATGGGGCAAAGGATTTTTCTTTACCATCCTCCTGTGTTTCTAGGTACCTGCAAAAGGACTCTTTGCTAGTGTTTTTGAATGTTGAGATATTGCTAACCCTAGATAGAACTGCCCCTGCATCTAAAAAACAGTGAGCATATGAGTACTGACTGTCAGTGTTTTAGCCCTTGATTAGTTGCTGGGCCAGAATTAGTGGTGTAATTCCTTAGAAATAAGCTCCAGGTTTTATAATCTCAGAATTTTCCTGTATTATGCCTTTTGAGGACTGGGCTTAAATATTCTGTGTCTTATCTGTGATCTCTGCCACAGCCATTCATTTAGTAATGGGTGTTCTTGATTCTTGGTAACCAAGGGACCAACAAGTAAAAGTTATTATTTTTAATATTTTCTTTAAATTATTTTTTCACAATGTTACTACACTGACAGAGGGCTTATTTGTGATACACAAAATTAATATCAAGTTAACCCAAAACTCCACAGTTATTTTAAGATCCTGAAAGCATTGACAAATAGCTCTTTGGTCTTTGTCCTCTCCTCTCCTCCCCTCTCTTCCCCTCTCCTCCCCTCCCTCCCTCCCTCCCTCCCTCCCTCCCTCCCTCCCTCCCTCCCTCCCTCCCTCCCTCCCTCCCTTTTTCTCCTCCCTTCCTCCCTCCTCCCCTCCCTTCCCTCTGTTCCTTCCACCCTCATCCTAACACTCTTGTCCCCAGGGACCAGTCTCTGCCCCCTTCTCTCTCCTCTTCTAATAAAGCTCCCATGTGAGCCTTGTTGGATGGTGTGACTTCTCTTCGCAGTGTTTTTTTTTAAATTACAAATGGAGCTTCTTCTCAAGCCAAGTATGTGGCAAAGACTCAGTGCCCACAAATATTATTGTTATGATACAGAATAGCAGCCTGTCTAAGTATAATATTTTCATTGTCTGACTAGAGAAGTTGTATGCCTAACTAGATAACTTGGCAG